ACTGTTTTTTGTATAATTTACATCCACTTTAAAGAAGAAGAAGAAGAAGAAGAAGAAGAAGAAGAAGAAGAAGAAGAACTATCGTGCTTTATCAATTTATGACAGAAGATGAAGAAGAAGAATTTTCGTGAGTTATGAAAGAGAAGAAGAAGAAGAAGAAGAAGAAGTAGAAGAAGAAGAAAAAGAAGAAGAAGAAAAGAATTATTGTGCTTTATGATTGAGAAGATGAAGGAGAGATGAAAATAATCGTGCTTTATGATTGAGAAGAAGAAGAAGAAGAAAAAGAAGAACTATCATGCTTTAGAACAGAGATGATAGTAATGATGATGATGATGAAGAAGAAGAAAAACTATAAAGAAGAAGATGAAGAAAAAGAAGAAGCGATTGGCGTCTCTATTTACGGCAGCTTCACTTTCTGTGCAAGCAAACATTATAGATATTAGATTAGTGATATATAAATGTTGGTAACTGGAGCTGACATTGTTTTTCTTTGAACTCTCGTCTTCGCTAACTAATAACAATAGACATTAATCAGTAAACAATTTCTATTGTTGGCCTCCTAATTTGATCCTTATGTACCAATTTGATCCTTATATACCAATTTGATCTTTATATACCAATTTGATCCTTATATGCCAATTTGATCCTTATATACTAATACGCAGTAATCTGGTGGCTAGGGGATTCCGTAGAAGTGTCAAAATATCTGACTTGAGAAAATACTTAAATCTCTACACATTTGTTTGGATTATCGCTCTCAGTTCATTCCTTTTGGATTGTTTGAAAATCTCCACAAATCCTGTAACATGCTTAATGTTTTCATATTTCTGACACTCGAACATTTTACTGAAAAAGGATCTAATTATTAGACTTAGAAATGACACTAGCTTTTTAGAAATTGATTTTAGTGTATCCATTAATTAAGCTCATGAAAAGCAGGTCAGTATAAGTCTGACGTTTTAACAACTCATTTTGATTTCATATTTCAATCTTAAAGTAAATAAAAACCGGCAAATATCTTTTTCAGTTATAGGTTTACACTATCAAATTTAAGATGTATTTGATGATAAGCAATTTTACTTCTGGGTAGTAAAATCCGTAGAATAATTTTTTATAACTTTAAAATCCAAATTTCTTTACAGACTTTAAAGATTTAAGTTAAATTTTCCAATAAATAAGTAAAATTTAACAATTAGTACATTTAAGATTGTTTTTAGTAGATAATTAATGTAAGACAGTATTAAGAAGGCAAAAATAACCGTCCACTATTATAAAGGTCATGTAAATTGACTTTTAGCCGAATAAATTGAAATTACTTACTTCCACTGCCAAATAAAACACGTACGCGCACATACACATACACAAACATACACGCACATGCACACAAAATCTTTCAATCATAGAAACTTTTTTTCAAATAGGTGCTGCCACAGATTCACTTAAAAAATGAGAATACCATAATGAAAAAATGCCCAAAACTTAAAACAAATTTCTAGCGTCAATTTTTTTATTAAAAGGAAAGAACAAATGGATTTTTAACTATTAAATTGTATTTTATAATTCTTTCAAGAAGGTTCGAAATTTTGATTAAAAATCTTGTTATTCTTGCATTATTATTGTAGTGATGGGGTGTAAAGTTTAGTATGGAAAATTTTAGCGTCGTTTTAGCGGTGAAAAACATTGATTTGGAAATTTTTGCGCAAAATCAAATAATTGTCGGATTTTAATGGAACTTTTAGGACTAATTCACAAATGAATTAAATTATTTTTGAAATATTTCTTTTTTTATAAAATATTGGCAACTTTTTTTACATTTATTACGACCCCCCTCACACTTATTTGATTTTATGAAATTTCGAGAAATTAATTTTTGTACCTCGTAATGTTTATATTAGTTATATACGCGGAACTCCTTGGAGAATTGAAATCATTAATTTTTTTGTAAAACAGGAAATTCAGTTACCAAAAATCTGCTATGAATTGTAAAATAAAAAATGAAATGAAGCTAAGAAATTATTCAATTAGAAAAGCCTTTAATTGCTTTTGTGAATAAGATATATTATAGGCACTATTGTCTTAAGAAAAAATTGTTTTCATTTTAAAAAAAACAAAATTAGAATAATTTATAAAGTTTTCACTCTTTTAAATGCCTGTCTTAATTTTTACGGGTTAGCTGATGTTAATAAGTAAAAGTATATTTATTAATCATAAATAAAATAGCTTTCTATAATTCAGCGACCTCCAATATTCTAAAAATAATTTTTTTTGTGTGTATAAACATCGCGATTTTTGTCAATACGGATGTTCATACACGATATTATAAAAAAAATAAAGGTCATAACTGTAGTAAATTTAAAGCTAAAATGTAATAAAACATTGGATAACGGAGAATATTTTCCTAAGTTTTTAAGATTACTGGATAGTTAAAATTATTTCTCAAGCAATTTTTACAGATATGTCCCCCGCAGAGAAAAAATAGATAAACTTCCGGCTGTCAGTCAGGTTGTCAACTCAGTCAAGCTACCCAACACTTTAAATAAACACCGACCGACGTGTTAATAAATGCAAATATTTTAAACTAAAAGTAATATTTGTTTCAAATCAGATTAATTAAACTTTAAATCAGTTAATATTCATCAAATAATGTTTAAAAAATGTATACTTTATTTTTGAAAGATTTTTTAATAAAAAAATTACATTGTGCTGACAGATGGCTAAAAATAGCGCTAAAATCAGAGATTTAAAAAATACCCTTCAAATTACTTTTGAAATACAGCAAAATATTTTTCTTATTGGAAATATTAAATTTAATCTATTAAACTTCAATAATACTGAATACTGTAAGGCTTTCAACAAGCGTCAATGACTTGCCAAAAACTTTTAGTAAACAAAAAACTAATGGCGTAGATACATACACAAGGTAATGTAAAAATACTCAGAAAAATAGCATGTAGTAAAGGCGGAAGGCAATAGTAAAATTTGCTTACAGAAAGTCTGCAGGTATTGTTAAAAGTGCATTAGAAATCAGTCGTTGAAAAAGCCCTCGTATTAGGTATACAAGTTATGTCAGAAACCATCCTGGGTATGACGATAAACTACGTCCAACAGCAAGGCCTCTGATCAGGAGGTTTTGAGGAGCGTGGAATCAACTCTTAATTGCTGGTGTTCCTAGGTCCACCCTGACCCGGGGTGGTAGCACTTGTTAGGGTCCCAACTATAGGTAAATAGTTAGCTCCCAAACTGGGGTTAAAATACTATGTAAGTATAAAAATAGGTTTTTATACCAGAAATACTTGTCGGTATTTTGAGGTAGATATGCTGTAAAAAACAAACTAAAAAACAAACCGAACTAAACCAAACCAAACCAAACTATGTAGGAAAATGTCATTTATCGATTAACTTTCGATTATGATAAACACCTTTTGACATCATTCTGTTTTTTTTTTTTTTTAATTTGTTTTGCTCACGCTAAGTCTCGATAAAATACTATAAAATTCATTATTTTTTATCCATAATGTTGAATGTGTTAAAATTATTCAACTTTTTAACAGGAAAAATCTCAAGTTGATGTTAAAAATTGCCTCAAAACATTGTTGGTCTATTTAAGATGGAATCTTCTATTATGACATGTCTTTAATTTGTATTTAGATACACTGTATTTATTTTCAGTTTTTCTAGTTGAATTGTTCACCTATATTGCATATGATCCATTTTTTGTACATAATTAGGTTACAATCAAATTTGTATTTTATATGAATACTAACTTATGAAAATTGAGATGTAGTAGAGTGGGAGGTGCATCATAGATCCATTGGGGCACGAGACCATTGCACCGGCCCTGCGTATGAATATGGGCCAAGGACAAAAAGTGCCCAGCTCCCGCGATGACTGTCATGCTGGCGTCCATATGACAACAACCCCCACCTCTCTTAGTGCAAAGAGTAAGGTGTTACCGCATGACTGGATCCCCTTTCTCCCATCTAAAATGAGGAGAACAGTTGACTTCATAACCGGCCAAAAGCTAACTTTTGTCTTGAGTAGAGTGTCCTATATATATATATATATATATATATATATATATATATATATATATATATATACGGCCTTGTGCCAAGCTAGGCTAAACTGAGGAAACAGCTTTCTAGGGCAGAAAACCTACTTCCTTTCAAGGGAGCGTCAAAGGTCTTATAGGAAAAAAAGGAAGTAAGGGTCGGCGATCGTGATTAGAATTTACTACATATGGCAGATGCCATAGATGTGTATGTGTGAGGGGAAGATAACTGTTTTAACAGAGCATCTATCTATCTATCTATCTATCTATCTATATATATATATATATGTATATATATACCGTATATACTCGCATATCATGTTACTTCTGAAAACCTAATTTTGAAGCTAATTTTAAGGGGGTCGCATCATACACGAGTTATAAAATTAGCGCATGTAGTACTGGCCCTGGCTACGCCGTTGACCAAATTATATATCCATTTAATGTACTCAAAAAGTATAGCTGTAAAGAGATAGAAAAAAAAGAGGTTAGTCTATTGTAATTTGGTTTCTCAAAAAAGGAACTCGTATGATGCATAAGATCCTTTTTATAAGTGAAAATTTTGCGGTCTCCCGATACACGAGATTGATACACGAATATATATATATATATATATATATATATATATATATATATATATATATATATATATATATCTTGTGGGTAGAATCACTGACTGATGACAAATCTGTAGGGTTTCGATCGCTTGAATCAATCGGATGTCTAGCTACATTGATGAGCGGTGATACAGCGAAACAGTCTTCCTGTGGATGTCTCTCTCTCTCTCTCTCTCTCTATATATATATATATATATATATATATATATATATATATATTCTAAGTTTGAGAAGCAATCATTCTTTGATTGAATACTATGGACAAGGAATATATTGCAAGTTTTTCTTTCAGTTTTTCTAGTCTTCTACCAGGTTTTATTTATGCGGACGAAACGCATGTACCGGTTCCCGCACGATCACCAAAGTTAGGCAATGTCGAGTCTGTTCAGTACCGAGATGGGTGACCGCTTCGGAATACCAGGTGATGTAAGTTTGGGTGTGCCGTAGGTGTAATGGATAACGACTCGAAATTGTTAATCAGAGATCCCAGTTCAAATTCCAGTTGGGTTCGTTATATTCACTTACGCGCAAATACCCCTGGGGAAGGTATGAATCCAACTCCCCCCACCCCCAGTTACGGGTTACTTAGTAAGATTTTGTATCTCTAAATCATTATTATGTTAAAAGAATATTCTTACAATCTAAAAAATATGGCTTTAAATAACCTGTAATGCGTTGATAAACCGTAGAAAACGAATTAATCGATCAATAAAATTCTGTCGAAACTCTCCTTACTGACGATTGTGCTTTCGGTTAATACTTTAGCCATTGCATATATATATATATATATATATATATATATCGTTAAATATAACAGCCAAGGAGAATTATTTTTTTATTTAGTTTTTAGAAATCAAATCTAAACTTGTGATGCCCAATATAGTGTATCAATTTCACTGCTCAGTACAAGGCTACGATTTTTGTTATAAATCAATTGTTTATATCGGACATACCACCACCTCCTTGAGTAGACGCCTCACATGTCACTTATCTGACCAAAGTTCTATAAAAAAAATTCTATCTACTCACAATTTACAGCACCATTAAGAAATATTCTGGTCGAAAACACTAAAATTCTATATAAATCACCGGAAACAACTCGCTATAAGAGAGGCTCTGTAATATATGCTTTACGTTATATTTAGTGTATATATATATAATTAATTTTTATTTATAATCCGTGTTTATTTTTTATTACTCTACGTTTTATTTAGTGGATATACGTGTCTGAGTAGACATCTCTGATTTGAAACTGCATAATTTTCGTCTACTGTTAATTTTTTTCAAGAGTTTTAATAAATGGTATCTGCCTTTCAAAAGGATTCGATAATTTTCCTTCATAAGGGTTTGTTGAGTCGTACTTTTCTGTAAAGTCTTTGGGAGTGAACGGTTAAAGGCACGTCGGGGTATACGGTGATTTCCACCTATATAAACAGAGCACCGTTTCTAACATTGCCAAAGCAAGACTATCGAAAACCTCCAACTGGTAGATGCAAATTATACTGCTTAAAAACAGAGATGTCTACTCAAACAGGTGGATCAACTAAATATAACATATATGGTAATGGTAATATAACACTTCTCGCTAAATGATCCTGGGTCAATTCCCGCGCCGGTTGATATTGCCGGTGGTCGTTGAACGTTGGCCACCTCAGATTGCGCCCTGAACCGTCTACATTATTTATTTTATTTTTTTTTTTTGATCACGGATCTGGTTAGTAATCGTAGCGTTAGTTTGAACCACGCCGAAGCTGTGTCATAAAGGAAAATAAAAATGTTCTTAGCAGGCGAAATAAAAGATAGGAAAACCTTCGGCTCAGTTTTTATTGTGGTTTATGTATTTTTTCTAACCTTTCCCACTTTGATCTCTATAATATTTTCTTCATCAAAGCTAGTTCTGGAAAAAGGCTCAAGTCGGGAGTTCTCTTTGGTAGCGTAGTCATCTCTCGTCATCTGTTCTCTCCGGAACGGCTGCAACTTGTTTGGTCGCTCCAATGCTCTGCTTATATTGACCTCTACCAAAAGCCGGTATGTGGGCTGACGTGTTTGGGAGCTCAGGGTATCCCTGTCTTCCAACAAGAGTTCTTTGTTGTCTGGTTTTGGAATATTTCTTCAAATTTGTGAGATCGCTTTTTCTATGAGCAGTGATCTCAGATACTAACCCATCCGTATAACTCATACCCTCTCTCATTCATGCCTCGCACTATTACGTCACAATGGACGTAGGCAATTCCTCCGTCTCTCTTGGCATATCACCTAAGCCTTTCACTTTAGTTGTCATTTTGACAAATCTAATTATTAAACCGCGTAGGTGAAAGGGCTAGGCTTGACTTCCGGTCATTAATCGTAATTAGCAGTTTAATTTTCATCAGCTAATTTTTCCCAGTTTTCAAGCAAGATATAAGATTCTATTTCTTGAATTGTTTGCAATCTTCTGCTTTTTGACAGGCAAAATAAATCAGTTCCTTTAACTTTTGCTTTCATCTCTGAAAATTCCAAAATATTATTTTTTCGATCGACTTCCTCTCCAGAGAAACTTTTGTAACCCGCACTTTTAGCTGCGACCATAAATTATTTTTTCTACTTTTGCTTTGTGGGTTTAAATTCTCCAGATGATCTTTTCGGTAATATCTTTCTCAGAACAATAAGTCCAGTGTTTGCTTTACCTCTTGCGTCTTGTCCCAAGTTATATTTCAATGATAATCCTTTTTCGTCTTGTTTCAATTTATTTTAACTTTAACCCTTTTTCGTCTTGTTCCAAGTTTATATTTTAAATTAACCTTTTGATTTCCATTTACCAGTGTCACATAGTGTCAATCTCTCCCTTATCCTTTCTGTCATTTACTTGCATATGTAATTCAAGACCCCCCTCCCTGCAAAAATTAACAAAAATTGTTTGTCATGCATCGTTTTTCTTCTACTAATCATACAGTAGAATTTTAAAAGTCTTTCTTCCTCTTTTCCAGTTATGATGATGCAATGTTCTCCGCACATAATGTTTCTATGCGCTTAAGTTTTTTATTTAATTTTTCCTGTCTTCTTATAATTTTCTTCTTTGCTGGGCATAAATTATGTGGAAATTGTGCAGATGTTCTGTATGTCCGAGCGCTTTCGGTTATACTTTTTATCAAAGATGATTTTATTTTTTACTTTTGACTGAAAGTATAGATTATTTTATGTATGTATCTAGAGTTATAAGAATGTTTTATTTTCTAAACACGGTCAGCACATTGTGGCCGTGTTCATAGTTGATGTAATTGAGTGTTAGCTCTTTCTTTCTTATTAAGAAAAAAAGAAAAAAATATGTGGACATTGGAGTCAACATTCGAGTGGCCTGAAGATTGCTTTCAAGCATGAAACAGACTGTCGCCACGCGGTGTTGATTTCAGTGTCCACTCTTATACATGCTATGCCGCAGTTATTAAACACTTTTACTCATAAATATAACATACATTAAAATTTATATATATATATATATATATATATATATATATATATATATATATATATATATAAAGAGAGAGAGAGAATGAAATAATTATTTGAAATTAAGAATGAATCAATGCTGGGCTTGATTCTGAAATGAAAATGTTGCAATAAAAATATTTCCTTTTTTACTTATTTATTTTTGCCTCAAGACCTATGAATAATTTCTATTTTAATAAAATTGATAACTTGGAGTGAGGGAACAATCGACAAGATAAACAACAAATCCTAAAAGTTTCTTGATTACAAGAAAAACAAAGTAAGAGGGGATGCTGAAAAATTCTGGGCGCTGCTCAGAAGCTCTTCCAAAATTAAAAGTCGAAAAATTTGACTGTTTGATCAGATTTTTGGAAAGTTGTTTAGGCCGAGAACTTTCTAGTTCCCCATTATAAAACACAAAATGAATATGAAAAGAAATGAATAAGAAAATAAAAAGGCTTAAGTACAAAAGAATGTAAATTGTAAATTAAGAAGTTTAGTGGCGAAAAAGCGGGAGATAGCGTCAAGGATAGTAATCGAGAAAGAATTTCACACGAGTGTCTTTTTGGTATCGCTTCGCTTTTGAGCAGGCGGCAGAACTTATGGCTGCTGACTTTGAGGGAAAGAAGAAAAGAAATAAAACTAACATTCTACTTGCTACAGACAAATTGCCGGAAATTCTGTTTGCCACCACAAGCACGGCTGACGCCAACACTTGGTAGTAGCAATGATGTTGCATGCGTCAGTAGCCAGGAAGATAGACACGTGAGTACACGCATACATAAACAAATATACTAAGCACTGAGTCACAATTAGCAAGAAGGTACAGCGAGTTTGATCGACGCAAGGTTCTCTATAACTGTGACCTTCGGACTATTGTCCTCGTCTTTGTCGCCATATTTATTACAACGTTTCGGCCGTTGTACGCTCCGGCATTCTTCAGGTAGTTAGAATGTCGAACTGAACCCTTTATTTCGCTCACTGGGTAGATTGTTCTAGTTCCATGTGCCATGTTTAATGGATGTCAGTTATCAGTTATCTTCCGTTAATTCCTCTCTCCAAGTTCTCCACTGCACATCTGTGTATGAATTTCTGGGTATTATAATACACAGATATCCTCAAGGACACATGGCACAGTGGATGAAGGCGTTGGTTAGATCCAGTGACAGGACCCAAAGAGTGTGAGTTCAATACCCGGTTAAGGCAGTGGAGAACTGTCAGTTATTTGTTGTGGCTCAACGACTATGCACTGGCTTTCGCGAGAGTTAAAGGCAAAACAGACACAAAATAACGTAAAACACTGAAAGCACTTTATACAGGTTGAGTTACCTTTATCCGAAATTCTCAAATCCGAAACCTCGAAAATCCGAAAGTTTATCAGGTGCTGACATGACTTGCCACAAATTTTAGAAAGTACTGGGAAGATTCCAAGCTGATAAGTTTCTGTTGTAAGTGACCATATCTACTCTGGGTAGGGGTTCCCCCAGCCCAACTACATAGCCTGCATTGGTGCCAGCACCACCTTTGTTCATGGATTACTTAATAGGTGTTTTGTGCTCAGTAAAGATATTTTTCAACATGTCAAAAAGTCCTGCATTTATATATTTTTTGTAAGTAGTGATCAAGTTTTTTGTACACCTACAGAAAATACAAAACATTATTTTTACGTGAAATCTTAATTTCACCACGTAAAAATCTGCATGAGCATTATATGACTAGTGTAATTACCTGTATTGGTATGGACACAAAATTTATTAAATTTTATATAAAACTACTTTCGGAGTATATGTATAAGCTGTGTTATGAAATGTGTGACACCCACTGGTGGTCGCGGTCGCAGTCCAACGCCAATATGGGACGTCAACTGTTCGCGACGTCAATATATGACACTGCACAGTCGGCCCGTGGTCAACTCCCAGTTGCGGCGCGAAGCTGTAAGGTTTCTACCACCAGTGTTTTGGGGTT